GGGATGCGCTTTCTTCTTGGTGCTTGGGGGGGGGGGGTCAACAGTGGGAGGGCTTCTGGAATTCTGGCCCCACTGCTGGACCTCCTGGTGGCACCTGGGCCATTGGCCTGATCCAACATTGGCTTCTCTTATGTAGGAACTCTCAGTCTGGGTCAAGTGATGCTCTGTCTTCTTGGTGCCTGGGGGTGGTGGGAAACAGTGGGAGGGGCTTCCAGTGTCCTGGCCCCACTGCTGGCCCTCCTGATGGCCCCTGGTATTTTTGGCCACTGTGTGACACAGAGTGTTGGACTGGAGGGGCCATTGGCCTGATCCAACATTGGCTTCTCTTATGTTCTTATGTCTGGGGCAAGGGATGCTCTGTCTTCTTGGTGCCTGGGGGGGGGTCAACAGTGGGAGGGCTCCTAGTGTCCTGGCCCCACTCCTGGACCTCCTGATATTACCTGGTATTTCTGGCCACTGTGTGACACAGAGTGTTGGGCTGGATGGGCCTTTGGCCTGATCCAGCATTGGCTTCTCTCTCATGTTCCCTTATGTTCCTTAAGACTGGCCACCCTCAGGGATGCTCAGCCCCAGAACACAGGCAGGTGCAAGGAGAACTGGAAGAAGGAGGTGGCGGCTCAAAACATGGCGGCTGCTTTGGTCTTGCTGCTGAAGAGCCTTGCCCGCCTCCAGGGGTGGCTGGAGTTCTCCTGGGATCACAACTGATCTCCAGGTGACAGAGATCAGATGGCCCGGCCGCTTTGGAAGGCGGGCTCTCTCTGATGGTCTCTTTGGAGGATGGACTCTATGGCGTTATACCCCATGGAAGTCCCTTCCCTCCCCAAGCCCCACCCCCCTCCGGCTCCACCCCCCCCAAATCTCCCTTCCCAACTCACCCATCCCCAACTGCTGAATGAGATTTGGGGTGGGGTTTGGGGCAGGCCCCCTCTTCCCTTCAGAAACTCACCCCCTCCCCGGAACATCTCTGGCTTTGCTTGCTGCAGGTCTCAGACTGAGGATGTGGCCGCTTAAACGCCACAAAGAGACGCACACAGGCCCCCCCCAGCCCGCAGCCCCCTACCACCCCTGCTCCCCACGGCACACTCACGGAGACGGACACAGGGCGTGACGGAGACAAAGGACAGGAGGAGGCACAGGCTGCCGTTGAACGCCAGCAGCCCCTTGTTGAGGGCGCAGCCGCCAGGGTGGGTGTAGAACTTGTACAGGAAGGCGTAAGCCGTGAAGGACATGGTGTAGAAGCCCAGCGTGGCCAGGAGCACCGCCAGGCACCAGCGCTTGTCGTTGGAGGCGCCGGTCAGCCTGCCGGGGCAAAGCTTGTTAGGAGGGCCTCCCCCGTCCAGCACCCCCAGAGCCCCTTCCTCCCCCTTCCCCGGCGGCCTCCTCCTCCTGTCGGGCCGGGCGGCCCTCTGGGGCGGGACTCACCAGTTCTTGTTCCAGGTGTGGGCAAAGGCGGTGATCAGCACCAGCTGCACCAGGATGAAGATGAAGCCTCCGCAGACCCCAACCAAGTGCCAGGCTGCAGGGGGCAAAGCCACAGGCAGCACCGCTCAGCCCCCCCCCCCGTCTGCCCCTCTCCCCTGCCCCCAGTCCCCCAGGGTCAGAGAGCGGCCCTGCTAGACTCTGGCGTGCCCTGCCAGGAGACACGCGGCAGGCGTTCCTGGCACTGCGTGCGCCGGGGGACGGGGGGGAGCATACCATAGATGAATCGCTGGTCGGGAATGAAGAAGGCTGCCGCCCACAGACCCACCAAGATGAGGAGCTTTAGGAACCAGAACCTGCAAGAGACCCCCCCCCCCCCAGGCCATGAAGGAGCCGGCTGACCCTGGGATTAGAGGAACTCAGGTCTTCGCCCCTCCCCACTGCGAGGGCTTGGGGGTCCCCTCTGCCCAGAGTCTTCCTCCTCCTCCCCCCTCCCCCTCTCTCTGCCCCTCACCCGTTGTGCAGCAGGGCCCGGAAGCTGGTGCTGGAGGTGACGTTGACCAGGAAAGCGGCCTGGCCCAGGTAGAAGCAGGCGGTGCCGAAGCAGACCCGGTAGACGGCCGAGTAGCCCACCAGGAGGTTGCAGCTGGTGCCCCCCGGGAGAGGCTCGCAGAGCAGCGCGTAAAAAGGCACCTGAGGATTTGGGGAGAGGCTGCCTGAGGCGAGCTCCGCGGTATCCCAGGGACCTGGCAGGGGCAGGGCTTCTGGGCAGAAAGGGGCCTGGAACAATCAGGTGCAGTGAAGAGCAAGGGGTCCCCGGGCATGAGCAGAGGGCCGCTGTTGGGGACAGCAGCCAATCTGCCCTCCCAATGGCCCCCACCCCCCCGCTCTCACCCCCACGACCTCTCTTCCCTCACTCACGTTCTCTCTGATGGCTTCCACCACAGTGCGGGAGAGCGCGAGGCAGCAGACACCACAGGCCAAGAGGTGGAAGGCCACGTAGAGGAGCCGCGTGCCCGTGGACACCTTGAGGCGGGCGCCGCAGGGGCAGGAGGCGCCGCAGGGAGCCGGGCCACAGCAGCAGCAGATCTGAGCGGGGGGAGGGGCACTGGTTCTGCTCAGTCCTTCTCCGCGGGAGAAACGACAGGGCCTCCCCCTCCCTCAGGCAGGCAGGCAGGCAGGCAGGCAGGCAGGTTGGGACTTGGGAGGCTTACCTGGCGACACCACATCTTGCCAGGGGATTTGTGCCTCAACACCTGGACTATAAGGAGACGGGGCCCGGGTGGGAATCCGGTGCCTTCGGGACGGGACTCCGGTCAGCCCACCCGGCAAGCCTCCCGGGCTCAGCATCTCAGCCCTGGACGGTGAGGGGAGAGCCCCGTGGTGCCACCGCCTCTTCCTCAAGGATTAGGGGGGATTGGGAGGCTCAGCTGCCACCTGCTGCTGGGGGGGGGGGGGGGGGGAAAAAAGGCCCCCCCCCCCCGGCCCCCACCCCCCCCCCCCTGCGGGGGGGGGGGGGGGGGTGGGCAAGAAAGGCCCCCCCCACCGAGCCCAGCACGCCCCCCCACCAGCTGCTACAGGGCTCTGTGCTGATCAGGCAAACACACACAAGCAGCCGCGGGAGAAGGTTGCCCAGGTTTCCCTCGCCCGGTCTGTCATTCTGTCCCATGCACAGCACAGCACAGCAGAGGGCAATGCCTCGGCAAGAGCCAGGGGGAGGGAATGGGCTGGGAGAGCCTGAAATGCCAGGGGCTGGAAATCAAGCACCCTCTTAGAAAAAGAAGTGCCCTGCAGCTCAGCCATCTGTGGGTACTGCTGGCGTGGCGTCCCACCCTGTTAGTGCTCAGCCCTCCTTTGAGAACCCACCCAAGCGATGCTCGGTGTGCCTGCCTGCCTGCCCTCCCTGCCTGCCCTCCCTGCCTGGGCAAACCAAAGGACTTGCTTTATTCTGGCGGGCAGGTCTCCATGCTTGCTCCGCATGTGCGCAGCCGGTGCGCCTCCTCCTCCTCCTGCTTTCCTGGAACCTGACACACTTCCCCTTCCTCTGGGCCAGACGGCAACGTGAGAGTCAGCAGACCTGCCCAAAGGGCTCTGCCTTGGCGCCCCCCCCCAATCCATCTGGCTGCCGAGGGGAGGATTTCAGGCTCTGCCGGTGGGCTCACGTGATGGCTCCTGCCTCCCTTCTGCGGGAGCGGAGCCCTTCCGGCCCGTCTGCAATTGGGCCCACCACGGAGGCTGCCAAGAGTGGCGGGGGAAGACCCCTTGGGGGCAAAGCTCTGGGGAGTCCAAGCCATCCTGATGGACCGGTGGTTTAGAGGAGAACTGGGGAGGCCCGGGCCCAGAGCTGTAGCCTGCTGGGACTTGGGCCAGTCACCACCAATGTTCCCTCTAAGCTGTGGAGTCTTGTGAGCAAACATTCTATTTTGTGAGCGACTGGTGTAAAAGTTGTGAGCAAGCGATTTGACTACGGCATGCATTAGCTTGCTCTGGAGCCCTCCTTCCTGAGCTGAGACAAAAATGTGTGAGCCAGAAGCTAAAAAGCTGTGAGCTAGCTCCCACTAACTCAGCTTAGAGGGAACAATGGTCACCACCCTTAGTGCCTTAGAGGAGGCCTGTCCTGCACCCGAACCTGAGTTCCTTATAGCCCATCCCTGTCCTGGCCCCGAGTTGGAGGCACAAGCGGCTGTAGTCACAGTCTTCACACCAGCCCCATGAGGCAGCAGGGTAGGGCTATCCCCCTACTGCAGATGGGAGCTGAGGCTGCAAGAGGGAGGCTTGCCTCAGGCCGCGCTGAGTGGTGTGATGAAACTGGGCCCTGGGGAGGCGCTCTCGGGTCACAGTGGTCAGCCACTGAGCGACCCCAATGCTCCCCTTATCGGATGGGGGAAATGGAGACCCTCCCATGCAGAGCCAAGGCCTGGAAAACACCAAGCACCCCAAAGACTGCAAGGCCAGAGAACCCAGTTGTCCACGAGGAGAGGACCAATCGGGCCGATCTGAACTTGTCCCTGTCAAAGGTAGCGCATAAGCGGCACAACACTCTGGCAACACTTTCTGCAGGCAGCCAGTTGGGGGTGGGGGGGAGGAAGTGCCGGAGGGAAACCTGAGCCGGGAGGCATGAGGTGGGGCGGGGGCGGTCAGAGTCCTGGAGGCCAAAGAAGCAGGAAGAGTCACCTGAGGGTCTAGCCACACGGGGCGCTTTGGCAGGTACAGCCCCGGGAGGGGGCAGGCTGGAAGGTGCCTCCCGAGGGCAGAGTGCCCGAATCCGCACTGGAACTCTGGCGGCACGTGAGCGCCTCAGCCGTCTCCCCTGCACAGCTTTCTCCCACTGAAGCAGGCCCAGGAAGCTGCTGTTTGGGGCACATGTCGCAAGCAGGGCCCCCACCTTGGTTGTACACGGAAGTTTTGATAAGGCAGGAACTGGCCAGGGAAGGTCTCCATAGCCCAGCGTTGGGAAAACCTCGTGTGGCGGAACAGGCCTGCCCTGACTCACAGACCCTGTCCCGCCAGCCCCCCCCCCTCCTCCCGCCAGTTTCTGGAGGGGGTGCTCCTCCACTTCCTCCCACTAGGGCATCGCTGCCACCACTGTCCCTTCCCGGGACTCCCCTCTTACAGTAGCGTGGTCTAACTTTTATTTCAAAAAGTAAAAATAAGCAGTCCAGGTACCCGTTGCCAATCCTCCAGCCCCCCGCCCCTAAGAAGGGATTTGGTCCCTGTGGTAAGCAGGCGCTGGGGAGCAGGAGACCAAAGGCAGGGCCTCGGTCTGAGGAGGGGGGTCAGGAGTCTGTCCCTCCTGGCAGGAAGACCCCCCCCATGGGACAGGGGTGCCAGCGGTACCCTAGTGGGAGGAAGTGGAAGAGCACCCTCCAGGAACTGGGGCGAGCCAAGGGGTGGGGGGACTGGCGGAACAGGGTCTGTGAGTCAGGGCAGGCCTGTTCCGCCACACCTTGTCAGGAAGAGAAGCCGTACAGATGACTGGAATGCACCCCACACTTGCCCCGAGACCTGTCTAAGGCTCCGTGCACACACCCTTGGATCTCAAATGATTGTTGCACAACGGAAGTTGTTTGCCGGTGGATTGTCCTGTCCATACGGGGAAGCCCAGTGGCGAATGGTGGCCAGAGCTCAGCAGCAGCGCAATCTCCACTGACCGGGGGCTGCGGAACAAACGTGGTGGGTGGCTCTGCCTTCCAGAGACCTGTTGTTTCACTGGTTGACACTGCTGCAGGGCGTGGCACGACCCTGGTTCTGGCTTCCTGCTGCCCTCTTCCACCCGGTTTCTCCCCCTGGCCCTGACCTGGTGGAACGCTCTGCCAAATCCCACCAGGGCCGTTCTGCGGGATCTGATGCGATTCTGCGGGGCTGGCAAGGCAGAGATGCTCTGTCAGGTTTCTGGCTGAGGACAGCGGTGGTTCAGTCTTGGCTGGCCCCCTTCCCGTCCTCTGCTGTTCACATCTGTTCTGCCGGCAGCGGGAGTCGGAATGGGAACTTATTGCGTCTGAGAGTTCCTGCGAGGCCGACACCCTCTGACTGTCTTTAATGTTGTATTAACGTTTTAACTGCTTTTATCTTGTTTTATCTGTGGCTGTACATCGGCCAGAGCCCTGCAGTAGCAGGGGTGGGGCGATTCATAAATACAGCTAAAACAAACAAACATCTGCCCGAGGCATCCGGTTCCCCCCTTTCCCTGGACCGGAGGGAGAGGATGAGGCTGACCGGGCACCTTGCCTGCCTTAGGGGGCCACTGTGACCCTCCCTCCCCTGAGCCCCCAGCCTCCGCTGCTCTCCCCCAAGGAAGCCAAAGGATGCACGGGGGGGGGGGGGGGCACCACGGGGCACACCCTTCCCCACTGGCCTGGCAAATGAACTCACTCTCCGGGAGCATCTGGTCGCCCATGGCGGGGGGGGGGGAAGGCAAGAGTGCCGGATGGGCGGCTGGAGTTTGTTCTGGGCCCGCAAGACCACCCTGGGGACCTCTGTTTGCCACCGAGCCACGGCTGAGAAAGGCTTCCCCCCTCCGCCTGTGAGGGGGGCTTCCTGCCCCCTCCCTCTCTGCCTGCTGCCAGGGCCCAGGGGCAGGCCAGCCACCAAAGGCCCCAGCCCCACTCTGGCAGAAGGCGAGGAGCCTCCCCTGGCTCTCTCCGCTCAGGCTTCTCCACAGCTGCACAGTCTCCTCCGGGGAGCCCTTGCTTGAAGGATCGGTCTCTCTCTCTCTCTCTCTCCAGCAAGCTTTCCCTTCTCCTGCCTCCCCCACAGTGGAGGTCCTGGGAGCCCACCCTCAAGGCAGCCGCCTGGCTCAGGAGCAGCGCCATCCTTCGCCCTGCAGTCAGGGCCCATCCCTGCCCGGCCCGCCTCCTCCAGAGGCCTCCCACCCCCACGCTTACCTGAGCCGCGCAGCAGGTGGGCGCCATCCCTGCCCTGGCCCCGAGGCCCCCGGCTCCCCACGGGAGAGCCTGGGTGTGCTGGTCTGGACCCCTGGTCATGGGTCCTGGGGGTCGGTGGTCCAGGGCCCCCCCTCCGCCTAGTGCTTGTCGAGTGCAAGGAGCAGAACAAGTCCACGGGGGCTCCCACCACGACCTCTCCCTGCCTCGGTCAACAGGCAGAGGGATTGGCGGACCCCCTCCTGCCCGCTCCAGCCCTGCAACTGGCCAGGGGGGAGGGGAAGGCCTTCCCTCCTCATCCGACCCCCCAAGTGAAACCGGCCATCGTGCCTGATTAGGCCAGGAGCCAAAGCTGCCCGTTAACCCTCTTAGCCGGCAGAAATAGAGCGCTTAGCCGTGCCCCTGGGGGCAGGTGACAAGGGCCCTTCTTACCCGAAGTCACCTTGGAGGCAAAAGGCACGGCCAGCCGCTGAAGACCAAGGGCGGGGGGTCTGAATGCAGACCCTCCAGGGAGGGCAGGAGGGAAGGCCCCCACAACCCTTCCCCCCCCGCAGATCTGCAGGCCCCCCCCCCCCACAGGCCTTGGTGCTGGCTTGGATCAGGCAAGCGTTAGTGGTGTTTCCCTCTTTTTGCAGCAATTCTTTCTTTAAGACACTTCCGGGTCCACCTTTCTCCCAGACAATTGGTGCCCAAAGCGGGTGACAAAATCAAAAGCACTGCACCGCAGAGAACTCAGAGAAATAATGAACTCAGAGAACCCTAGAAATAATGGTGTCCCTAAGAGACCGCCATCCCCTTACGATCCAACAAGGCACCAAAATCACTGGGGATCCAGATGCTGTGTGTGTTTAAAATCCCACCTTCCAGCCCCGCCGCCGCCACCCCAGTGAACTTGTGACAGAGACAGCAGCCCCTCTGGTTTATTTTGGGGAGGTGGGCATGGAAACTTCCAGGGCATCCACAGACAACAGCTGCGAATGAGCCACCACGGGTGGGGAGGAATGCCCCCTCTAAGCTGTGGAGTCCTGTGAGCAAAAATCCTACTTTCTGAGCTACTGGCCTTGAACTTGTGAGCGAGCCGTTTGGCTCCTGCCTAAACCAGTTTGCTCTGGAGCCCCATCCTCCCTGAGCGAAGGCAAAAAGGGGTGAGCTGGAGGCTAAAAACCTGTGAGCTGGCTCACACTGACTCGGCTTAGAGGGGACCCTGCTGAGCGGCATAAAGGGGCCCCAGGCGCCGGCCTCCAGCGAGGGGGAGGCGGGTGGGGGCTGGGAGCGCCCCTTCCCCTCGCTCCGGCCTCCTCCTTGGCCTGCCCAGGAGGCAGAACAGCCCAGAGCAGCTTTTGGAATTTAAATCAGGGAGGCCACCTGGAGACTGTGAAACTAAGAATAGCTGATTTGTTGGCTTCAGTCGGTAATTTTTTATTGTTTTTAACCCCTTTGTAGATCGCCCAGAGGCTTGTCAGGGATTGGCCGACCCAGAAACAACAACAACAACATCAACAACAAGATGACGATGTCCCCGCAACTGGCACTGCGCCTGCGCCAGGAAGACGCTCTGCGCCGCTGAGTCAGCTCCTCCTCCTCCGCCGCGGCCGCCCGCCCGCCCCACCCACGCAGAAGGCGAAGTCGTCATCGCAGGGCTGTCTCTCAAGCCCCGCCCTGAGACGGGAAGAGGAAGTCCTATCAGACGGGGCCCCCGAGGGGAAGCGTCGCTTCCGGAAACGCGCAGTCTCGCGCGACGGAAGCGGCGTGCGGCGGGGCGATGGCGGCCGAGGGCGATGTGGAGCTGGAGCTGGAGGGGGGTGGGAGGGCCCGCCGGGGTCTGGCCGTGGCCGGCGGCGCCCGCGGGGAGATTCCCAGGCCGTCCAGCCGGCCGTGCAGGCACGGGGGCAGCTCTGTCTGGCCGCTTCTGAGCCATGACGCGCGGCGAAGAAGGCGGGACGCTCCCTAGTTAATTACGCTGCCCGTCCTTCTGGCTCAGCTGGTTTTCTCACCTTCCCGAGCAGCGGCCGTGCCGCAACCCCCCCACCCCCCATCACTTTCAGTAGATCCATTCCCAGGTCAGATCCTTGGCCAGCCTGTTGCTTTATTTCCATTTGTGAGCATGGTCATTTTCCTGCTGGACCTGCTCCAAGTGCTAATACATAGCCGACTGAATGTTGCTAAAGTGTGGCTTCTGTACAGGGAAGCCCTGCTCTGCCAAGTGATTCAAATCAACAACACACATGAAGCTGGATTCAGACTGCTGAATTGCCACTGATAATGCAGGTCCAGACAATGCATCCTCCTGGACTGAATTGAGACCTAGGTTTCCTGTCTCGTTACCAATGTTGATTTCTCAACACCTACTATCCCCCTGCATATCACACCTCATCCAATCACACCTCCTGTTGTCATTTGGCATCTAAAATCACTCCACTCCAAGATATAAGGACAGATGGACTCACATTCTAGCTGTATCTGAAGTGAGCCGTGTCTCATGAAAACTCATACCCTTCCACAATTTTTGTTAGTCTTCAAGCTGCTACTGGATTCTTACTCTTTTCTACTGCTATAGACTAGCACAACTACCCATTCTGATCTGTTTTTAAGAGGGTTGTTGTCTTTTCCAATAAATTCAGTAAGTCCACCCTTATACCATCTCCCAGTGAGGCCTCATTTGGAATCATGTGTACAGTTTTGGATGACACATTTTTAAATTGAAGAGCTGGGAAAATTAAAGAAAAAGTCACTTGTTGCTTTTTAGTTTAAGTAAAGGTGATTGAGGGATGACGTGATGGAAGTCTACAGAATTTATGATACACACAGAGAAATAACTTTTCAACTTCTCCCATATTACTAGTGTGTGGCTGACTTGTAGGGCTCATTGCCATGAACTAGATCTGTTGGTTATTAGCCATGGTAGCCAAATGGGGTCTTTAGGTTCAGATGCAGCATACCTCTGATCATGCCATGCTGGGGAGAAATCTGCAGGCCCACATGTGGGCTGGCATCTGAGTAAGGAAAGAGGCTGCTGGACTAGATGGATTGTGTGTATGATCCAGCATGGCTCCTCTATAGGATCTTATGTGTAAAGTATATCATGTGGATAGTTTGGTAGGCACTTGATGAATTTATCACATATTCTGGAATTACCTCCCTCTGACAGGCCATGTCTGTGATAGGAGACCGAAGATCCAGAGAGCAGAAAGCAAAGCAGGAACGGTGAGTTCTTCTTGTCATTGGACAGACACATCAGCCGCTTTCACAGCCACGCCTGTAGGAGTTGCTAAGTGTGTCAGCCACAGGCTATGAACATGGCTTGGTGCCAAAACAGATTCCTATAGCTACAGCCAAGTTTGAGACCGCATTTGGCTTTTTTCATAAAGCAGCAGCAAATTTAAAACTGTTTTGACTGTTTCAAATGTTAAGAAAAGATTTAGCCTTAAATCCTTATTACATCTTTGAGTTCTGTCGCTTGCTTTACAGTAGCAGCAGAAGAAACTTCAATTTGCTAATTCAACACCAGAATTCTGCTTCTGTTCATTGTGCTGCAGGCACAAATGCTAGTGTAAGACTGTCGAGCATCCCTGCAGGGAATTAATTGTGGAGTTGGATGTTGCCTGGGGGCCCTGAATAGTTTTTCCTTTTGCTTTCAGAGAGAAGGAACTGGCCAAAGTTACTATCAAGAAAGAAGATTTGGAGCTGATTGTGAGGCTTAGTTTTGTCTGTGGTTTATGGGAACACCTCTCTACAGGTGCACGTCTTGGCAGGTGCAGCCCCAACTTTTTTTTCTGTTTTCCTGATAGATGAACGAGATGGAGATATCCAGGGCAGCGGCTGAGCGCAGCTTACGGGAACACATGGGAAATGTCGTGGAGGCACTAATCACACTTACCAATTGAGAGCTGATTTACCAAGGGAGAGAAAGAATGTTGCCTTTTTTTCAGCATGTGGTGTACTGTCCTCAACACATTAAAGCTACTGGAATAAAAAGTGGCATTTGCAACACGATGTGGTTTACATGGGATTGAACAGGATCCACTGTATGACCTCTACCCCTTCTGTGGGGTAAGACTGGTGTTAGAAACAGACCTATTAGCTCTTCCACATGAATGGAACATCTTTATTAATGTCCAAAATAACATTTTTGTTGGCTTAATAAAACATACTATAACACAAAACAGTGTACAAGCTTAATCAGACTGCATGTTACAAAAACAATATATAAAGGGGGGCTGGGGCAGCAGATTTTTGCAGGTCGTGAGCTGGTCCTTGATGCACTGTTGGCATTCTGGGAGCAAGTAATAAACAAAAAGATTCTTGCGATAGGAAACATAAAGGCCAGTAATAGACCAAATGTCTCTTAACAGGAGGACGGGTAGGCAGATCCTTTGATGGCTGAGAGCGGAGAAGCACTTGGTGGTCTTTGGGCAAAACTGCCCAAAGGTGGCTCCAGTTGACTAATGCCAATGGATCACCTTTGCTTCATCATCTCCAGCATTAAGTGCAATGGCTGCAACCTTGCAGAGCTGCTCAGCATTTTACACAGGACCAGCTCTGAAGCTCACACCTGCTTTTATTTTTCATTACTTCCTGTTTGCTGAAGGGTTCTGGATAACTTGACAGCTTGCAGACAGTTGTGTGGAGTGAAAGGTATTATGTGGATTTTGCTTTTAGTTTTGGATTTTACCGACTACGTTTTCCCTACTAACTTGTGCATGGAGAGTCTGACTTCCATCTGTCACTCAAGTTTATGCTTTCAGTTTCTGTGGCAGGCCGTGGCTGGCATGTTGTGGTATGAAGACAGTTAAACTATGGGCACAGAGGACATACCAGCAGTCCCCATCATCTGACTGTTAACCTATTTTAAAAACTGCCAGTCATCTTATGGAAATGAGCACAGCCCTGTTAGGGACAAGGAGAAAACTGATGAGGCCTCAGCCCCAGCTGGGTGTTTGCATCAAGCCACAGAGGCCACATCGTCAGAGCTTCACTTCTGCCACCCGCAGGCCTTAGTTACAGCTGTCACAGCGCTTCCTCCCGCCCACCATCAAGCAGCACAGCAGCAGTATTGTTTAAAAAACCCTTTAATATGGTTTCATTTTACTTTCCCTCGCTTGCATAAAGAACAAAAAAAAAATTTACAATCTGTCAAAAAAGCACCCCCCCCCCCAGTGCTATGACCAGGACCTGTAGCCAGGCAGCAGTTCTGCAGCAGGGGGATCAGGAGCCTACTCAGTTGGTGCTGACTGGCTTGTCCGCTGCTCTACCCCACCAAGGGAGATCTGGCCTCTATGGAGCGAGGGGGGAAATGGCTCTGGCCCAGACCTGTGCCAAAATTCCACGACCCCTCCCAAGCATCAGGGCAACTGCCAAGCCCCCCTCCAACACTCTGCACCGCTCTCTCCCCTTCAGTTCACCTTCCGTTTCTTGGCAGAGGGTCTCTCAAAGACATCCCGCACCCCGGCTGCCTTCTGCTTGAAGAACTTGGTATTCTGTGCACTCTCCTGGCCCCAGGCAGAGTCAAAGGAGGTGGTATCCTGGTCCACCAGGTGTGTGTACTTAGTCCGTCCAGAACGTCCAAAGTTCTTAACCTGGAGAACAGAAGAGAATCTTAAGAAAAGGGTAACTTTGAGCAGTGGTCAAAGAATCACTTAAGATTTCAGGAGAGGCATTGGGGGGGGGGGGAACAGACACATATGGAAAAATCCAAGTTAGCCACAGGCCCCATTTCCTAACGAACCCAGGCAGTGACTCCATCCCCCACCCAGCAAGGGCTCTTCTCACCTGCATGACTTTTGGCAAGATGGTTTTGTTGAAATGATCCTCCAAAGTCGGGGCACTGAAGTCTCTCTTGTACACATCCTCGTCTTCATCCTGGGAGTAGAGAATCAGAGCTGAGTAGAGGGCAAGGCTTTTACCCCCTTTTCTGCTCTCCAAGGTAGGCTGGTAGGCTAGTTTAGGAAACACTCAGAGCTGAAGCAGTAACCTGTTCGTAAGAGTAAATTCTCTGCTGCGGCCCTCTTTCCATGCTCTGCTGTGATGCCATCAGGCACACACCAAGCTCTCAACACAGTTCCCACTGCATTCCAGAAACTTCATACATGAATACACAAAACTGTCCTCTTGCTCAGTCCTGTCTCCTACGGGCTCCAGGCAGAGAAGGGGCAGTCCCAGCACTGCTACCCGAGAGCTGTCTGCATGCAAAACCTGGACTTCCCTCCCCTCCCCATCAGCACTCGCATACCATGAAGAAGGCCCCCCGGTGGTAGTACTTCTGCAGGAATTTGTATTTGCCCTTCACGGCCTTGTTGGTGATGACTTTGCCATTTGCTCGGAGCTCTGCGCGGCGTTCCTCCTCAGTCAGATTCCTCACCCGCTCAATCTCTGCCTTCTCCTTCTCTAACCTACAGGAAGGAAAAGTTCAGTTTAGGGATCTGCACAGATGACCTCTCCGTGCATGTCCCCATCTACCATAGTGGAGTGACTTACATTTGGCAAGAAAAACCACAAATAAAAACAAGTATTTTCAATCAGCTTTCCAACTAATTTATGTATTTCCCAAGTAAGCATGCATACTAATAAGTTGCCCTGACAACTGTTTGCTACTAATGAGTCGTCACACTAACTCTAAAACTCTTGCTGTATTTTACAGTAATGTAATGTGACTCGTATTGTCACACGTAACGCTTGTTGTACAGCCTCCATGTAAAACCTGCTTCTCGGTATAGATAGAGGCTCTGATTCACATTTAGAAGACTGTAGGCATTAATATGTTTGTGTGATATTTTAAAGCTGACTAAAAGATAAAGTAACCAATTTAAAAAAGAAATGCAAGCTTTTGATCTCTAGAAATTGGTTTATACTTGCACCTGTTTTCCACATCATTTGTTATGGCTACAAGAATACCTCTCACTGTTTTTATCAAGTTTTTCAGCTAAAACTAAACTCCCAGGTAGATCAAAGGAATTTTAAAAAAGATACAAATCCCATTAGCATTCACCACAGATATTCCTTCCAGCCCCTCCTCTGTCCAGAAGACTCCCTCATCTGGAGGCAGCCACCATACACAACTCCCTATTTTACCCCTGGCCTGAGGTACTTGGAGGAAAAAATGCCCTTTAGCTCTGGCCTGACTTCACTTACGCTTCCCGTTCCTCACGGTCCCGCTTGATGCGCTTCAACTCCCGCACTTTCCAAGACTCATATTCTTCCTCATCGTTTTCGTCATCAGTGTCGAGCGCATCCAGGGCAGCCAAAGAGCGCCTGTTCTCTTCCAGCTCTTTCTTGGCTTCCTCTTCCACGATCTGCAATGTCAATCAACATGGAGAAATTCCTGACGCTGTCCAGCCTTCTCTTCCACCCTCACACAAGCAGTCTTGTTTTCCCTCTTACCTTAAGTGTGTACTTGCGCCTCTCCTCAGCCATCCGCTTGGCCTCCTGCTCGAATTCTTTCTGCTTCAGCGCCTCTGCCTCTCGTTCCTGGACTGTGACTCGGTCCTTCCTGCAGAAGACATTTTTGGTGAGCCCTACGCTTTTTAAGCCCAGCCCTGTCCAGAAAGACATCCATGAAACCGCCGTCTAGAATCCATGCATGAATCTGGTACCCTCCCTACCTTCTTCTGGGGAACTCGAGAGAGGCCACACCTTCTTATGCTACCAACAAGAAGAAACCATGCCAGTGTTATAAAACAGGGAATGCTTCCGCGGCAGATTCCCTGCCCCTTCTCTCTCTGTTGTCTTGATAATTAACTTACACCACCCCACCTCATCCAGCAGCAGTGGCACTTACTTGCGGATGAAGACTGGTTTGAGGCGTGGTTCAGTCTCATCCTCACTGTCTGTGTATTCCTCATATTCCGACTCAGACTCAGACTCTTCCCCAGAGTGGCCTTCATCTTCCAGCTCCATCACTTCCATCTCCTCGTTCTTCCGCTCCTGTGCACGTTGCCGCATCATGCTACGGCGGCGCTCGATTTCCTAGTAAAAGGGGAAAGGGTGAAGCAGAGTCCCTGTGGCTGCATCAGAAAGAGGCAATGGGTAAAACAGTCATTCTTTGGAATCTTCAGTTACAGGATCACGAACAGACTCATGCCAGTCAGAATAGATGAACAAATTATCTGAGTTGGTATGAGATATGTTCATGTAACAATTTGTTCCTACAGGAAAACGTACTTCTGAAATTCAGAAGAATGCAGCAACACGAAAGCCCAACCGCTGACAGTGCTGGAGTCTAGAGCACAACCAGATTTGTACCTCATCGTCGATTTCTTCCTCCTCTTCTTCGCTGGTGTCCTCTCGCTCCATGTGCCATGCCTCTCCCTCCACTTCTGAGTCACTCTCCCCCACCACTTCTGGCTCCACAATCTTACGGTGCCTTGCCAGCCTAGAATATAAACTCAGCCTTAGGCCAGGGCCTTTCAAGCAGCTGCTCCGTTACACGCTGTACCTACCGGAGACAGAACATGCCCACCCTGCAGGGTGCCTCCTCTCATCTGCCCGGTGCTTCAGAGCCTCTTTGGGTGCCCCAGAGAGCCTCACACACACACCCCCGGGGCAGCAGTGGTGCTGCTGCCACCCGCCTCCCCCCGGATCCCGGCCAGGGCGGACCTCTCTTCCACGTCCTCGCTGATGCGGTTCTGCAGGCGCCGCAGGCGGGGGTCGCTGGTCAGCTCTTCGTCCTTCTCCTCGGGCTCCAGCTCCTGCTCCTTCGCCTTCTTGATGAACTGGAACTCCTCATCCTCCTCATCGGAGGACTCCATGGGCGCATAGTCCGGCCGCTTGCCGGACACATAGCGCTTCACTTTCACCTTCTCCATGGAGATCTCCCCTGCGAGGAGGAGAGATTGGATTTATACCCCGGAGTCTCTACCCAAAGGAGTCTCAAGGGCGGCTTACAAACTCCTTTTCCCTCCCCCTCCCCACAACAGCAGGCACTCTGTGAGGTAGGTGGGGCTGAGAGAGCTCTTGACAGAAACGGCTCTTTTTCCAAGGACAGCTCTTGTCAGAACTACGGCTTGCCCGAGGTCATCCAGCAGGCGCGAGTGGGGGAATCGAACCCGGTTCTCCCGGATCAGAGTCCGCCTGCACTTAACCACCACACCAAACTGGAGGAGGAGGAGAAAGCAGCAGCAGCAGCAGCCACGGTCAGGGCAACTCTCTCGCGGGGGAGGGTACTGGGGGGGGACACAGGCCGCCCTCCTCGCCCCTCTCCCCCTCCCTCCCTCGCCCGCCGCCTCACCCTTCTCGTTGCGGACGGGCACGGCCCCCGCCGTCGACTGGATCGGGGGCTGCTTCATGAGGGCGCTGCTGGAGCCCGACATGGTGAGGAGGAAGAGGCCGCGGGCGGCGGCGGTGGCGGCGACCGAGTGCGCGCTCAGGCCCAACGGCGGCGAGGGAGGGAGGGAGCGGCAGCTGGAGCGACCACCAGAGACGACCCGGAAGTCCTACGGCAGGGGACGGCGCACTTCCGGAAACAGACCGCGAGAACAGGAAGAGGCCGCCGGGCTGGCCCGCTTCCGGAGGCGGGACTTCCTCCCGGGGGCCGCGAGGCAGGGAAGGGGGGCAGCGGCGGCGCAACCCTGCATGAGTCGCTGCTCGCTCTGGCCTCCCCAGCATGGCGCGGTGGGGCGGCCCTTCGCGCTGAAGGGGGGGCGCCCCGAGGCCTGGGGGAGGCGCGAAGGCCGGGCAGAGGGTCAGGGGGAGGAGCCGCCGGTCTCCTCTCCCCCCTCGGGCCCCAGCGGTTTGTGGCGGCTTCCCTCGCCCGGCCTCTTCCAGCAAGGACCTGGGGCGGCAGAGGCTTCCCTGGACTTGTAGCCCGGCTCCCTTCCACCCTCTGCCTGGTTCGCATCTCCTGAGCGATGCTCCCTCCGAGCTGTGGGGTCTTGTGGGCAAAAACTCCACTTGGTGAGCTGCTGGCATGAAAGGGGTGAGCCAGCGATTGGGCTGCCGCATCAATGAGTTTGCTCTGGAGCCCCATCCCTTCCCGAGCTAAAGGCAAAAGTGTGTGTGTGCCGGAGGCTGAAAAACTGCGAGCTGGCTCACACTCACTCAGCTTAGAGGGAACTCTGCTCCTGAGTCTGACCCGCCGGGTGGCTGGATCCCCACGAAAACTAAGGCAGGGCTCTGGGTGTCGGAGCACTGAGGTGGATCACAACCCCGCTGTCCTTGAGGAGACTGAGGAGGCACACGGATGGGGGGGGGGAAGAGTCACACATAAAAGGGAATGCCCCTCTTGAGAGGCCGTGGAGGACTGCTGGGCCCTCCGAAGTTGTAGGGCGGGGAACGGGTGGGTGCTGGCATAACTGGTCAGCCTGCTGGGAGCCCTTCCCTTGCCTTGTATGCCTCCAGTGAGCATGACACAAAGCATCCCATTTATTCATTTACTTTTATCTCTGGTCTGTCTTGCTCACGAAGATTCAAGGTGGACTACACTGTGTAAATCAATGCGAGCAACAGGGTCATCTATCTATCTAATAAGCCGTGTCACAGGACTAGGAGTACAGCAATCTGAAACAAGGCATGGTAATATTAGACTAGATACAAGGCAGAAAACGATATTAAGTATAAAACAGTACAGGGAGAGCAAGGTCTTACAGAAACATATACTGCACAGAGTGGTACAGTTCACAGTCCTTATAAAAGTGTCTCCCTGAACGGTCCTCTTACAGCCATCTCACCTTGATAACCCCCCCCCCCCGAACAATTTTGCATAGTCTGTGGAGTGACAGAACCATGGGAGCCTGCGTGGCCTCATCAGGTAGGCCATTCCATAAAGTGGGGGCCACAGCAGAGACTGCGCATGTATGGACGGTGGCTGGTTTTGCTCATTTGCAGGTTGGCACCTGCAGAAAAGCCCTGCTCGGATGAGTGAAATTGTTGTGGTGAGCACGGGGGGGGGGGGCTGTGTAAGGGGGATGACGTTGAGCGAAGGAGCCTCCTCCAGCGGAGGCCCCTGGCAGTTCTTAAAGTGCCAGGGCAATGTTTGATGGTGTCCAGTTGCCAGGCTATAAATGGTTTCTCCTAAAGGGGTTGAACAAGTTAAGGGCAAGGTTACGCCCTGTGTCTCCAATGGCAGCCCTCAGAGTACAATCCACGAGGAACAATTAAAACCAGTCCTAGGCACACACCCTGATCCTTACTTCCACCTCATCTCAAGAGGAGGTCGTGATGTTCTGTATCAGAGGCTGCAGCTTTTCTAAGAGCAGCAGCAGCGGCGGCCTGGCCTTTGTCTGCATTCAGACAGAGGCCCCCAACTAAAGCCACCGGGGGCCATCTCTGCCCCATTGCCCAGCCTGGAGAAGAGAGTCCAGAGCAGATGAGTTACTCAAGAAGACCTGGAGCTGGTCTGCCACTGTCCTGTCAGTCACTGTACCTAGAAAGGGCAGATGGGAGACTGGGGGATAGTTGGCCACATGGTTTTTCTGCAGGGCTGGTTTTTAAAGTAGTGAACCGATAACTGTGTGCATGAGTGGCTGAGGAAAGGTGCCTAGGCTTAGTGACGGATGTCCACTAGACCCCAAGAGCTCATTATTGTGTGACCCTTTCGTGATTCCAGCAGCCAGGGTGGGCGAGGGTCAAATGCCCGAGAGGGTAGCCTTCATGGATCCCAGGGCCCGGTCAATATCCTTCATGGTAGCTGGGTCAAAAGGCTCTGTAAACCAACCAGATGATGTATTGGGAATTTCTTCTGCTTGGCCTGTGTTACAGCCACCATCCAGGTCAGGGTGTATTTGTGTTATTTTATTATTATTATTTTTAAAAAAAACCTTTCCAACAACAGTGTCACAAAGGTGTTTTTCACTGGAAAAATTTAAAGAGCCTGGAAACCTTTTTATGCTATACCTTTTTAGTGTGGGGAAAAAACGTAAAGAAGCATTTAACTCATTATGAAAGAAAAAATCTTTCATAGAATTCTTTTTCCAGCCCCAGAAAAAAGCCCTCCCCTGCTTTCTTCCCCCCCCCCCCATGGCCTTCACATCTCTGTTGCTACCCTAATCATTCGTGGCAAGTATTAAAATTTTCTAGCTGCTTCTACTGATCACTTTTATATTTTATTTATTTACCTCCTGTATACCCTGCTTTTCTACCCAGTGGGGACCCAAAGCAGTTTACATTGTTTTCCCGTCTTTTATTTTATCCTTACAACCACCCTGTGAGAGAGGCTAGGCTGGGAGAGTGGAAGTGGCCCCAGGCTTCCATGTGGCAGAGTGGGAATCCAGACCTGCATCTCCCACATCCGAGGCTAACGTTCCACACGTTCCACCACATAAAGTGCTTTTCATCCAGTTGCACAGCAATTCTACGAAGTAGAGCCACAGGGTAGATCCATTTTTATAGGTAAGGAAATCAGGACTAAAAAGAACATTCCATAGTGTGGTTTAGCTATGTCCTTATGGATGACAGATTCACAGGGGCCACAGAACTGACTAGCTTGGGTGCTGTCCTTACCGCTAATGTCGAAGAGAATATACATGATGCAGTAACAATTTCAGGAAAAGTCAGTTAATCTGCATTCTTTTCAGGGCTGCCTAGAAGCTTTGGGAAATGGGGAAATTCTTAACAAGACCTTTCCTAGAAAAAGTACGCTGCTTCCTGCAACACAGAACAGGAAATCCTGAGGCTGGCAGTTTTCGAAGTAAGATCTTTCCCCCAAAACCACTTTGAACCTGACACTGGCCTTATCAAAGAAAATTACCAGATGTCTGCAGTTTCCCCTAGCAGAGCTGACTAATTCTGGGTACTGTGCTAAGGTAATTGCTGGGGCGATTGTGTCTGGCTGTCTGGCTTGTTTTCAGTAACACCAAAGACACACCTGTCTGATTTCCTGCTCTGATACGTCTCTTGAGGTCTGAGGTTTTGTGTGTCCCCCTTTCACAAATTTTCCAGGAACAGTCACTTCTTGCGTCATGGTTCTATACTGATCTAGTTTATGGCCAGAAACCTGAGTGGAACAGACATCAGTAAAAGCAGTATTATAAATTAGGGAAGGATTAAAAAGAAAAGCCAAGGTTACTGTGTACATCTGTGGTGTGTCTGCATCGACGCTTTCCGACGTATCCCATGCAGAGTTCCCCCAAATACAGTTGTGATGGTACTTAAAAAAAGGCCACAGAATGCTACAGGACCAGTCTGTAACATTACACAATACTCAAAAGTATAAAAGACGTCTGAAGCTATGCTCCCTCCACGCTGTGGAGTCTTGTGAGCAAAAATTCCACTTTGTGAGCTACTAGCATTAAAGTTGTGAGTGAGCGATTTGGCTACTGCATAAATTAAGTTTGTTCTGGAGCCCTCCTCCCTGAGCTGAGACGAAAATGGGTGAGCCAGAGGCTAAAGAACTGTGAGCTGGCTCACACTGACTCAGCTTAGAGGGAACACTGGTCTGAAGTGACTGTTCAGTACGGTTTCCCCCCCCCCCCGTAGTTGTGTGAAGCTGATGTAACACCGGAGGTGGATGAAAAATGAACTGCTGTCTGCTTGGGAACTCCTCTGAGGCTCTGGCCCTGGTCCCTCAGTTGGGTGTCGTGGTTAAGTGCAGGCGGACTCTAATCTGGGAGAACCGGGTTTGATTCCCCACTCCTCCTCCACTTGCACCTGCTGATGTGACCTTGGGTCAGTCACAAGCTCTGATAAGAGCTGTCCTTGAAAAAGAGCAGTTTCTGTCAGAGCTCTCTCAGCCCCACCCACCTCACAGGGTGTCTGTCTGTTGTGGGGAGGGGAAGGGAAAGGAGATCTGTAAGCTGCTCTGAGACTCCTCTGGGTAGTGAAGGGCGGACGGTATAAATCCAATCTTCTTCTTCTTCTTCTTCATCTCAACAATCCCAACCTACGTTGTTTGGGTCTAAAGTTTGGGTCCAGTGGCTAGAAGACGGACCAATGGGGGCAGGCAGTGGCAGCAGGGGCCGGGGCCTGGGCAGAGGGGCAGCTCCCAGAGTCCTTTGATTCTGTATGAAAGCTCTCAGGAGAGAAATCTGAAGGAGAGAACTTGTTCCTCCCTTGCTCCGGGGACTTCTGTGGTGGGCGTGCCTGCCTGTGTATGTGCCAGGTCCCCTCCTGCAGACCCCCCCCCTTTTGATGAAGGGAAGGGAGCGGGGGGGGGCGCTTGGAGCCCATCCCACGGGACAGCTGAAGGCCGGAGCCTGCCGGAGAGCTGGACCTCCTCGGTGCCACAGCCCCTCTTGCCTGAGAAGTGGGTCTGCCGGCTGGGGGCTAAGGCGTCTGCTCTCAAGAGCTGTGGTTAGTTGCAGAGGACGCAGGCTCATGGCTGTGGAGGCCGGTAGGGGGGAGGCCCATGGAGTGCCAGGGGAGTGTTGTCAATATGGGGCGCCATTGTTTCCACCAGCATAGCACTTGCACGAGTGTTGGGGGCAGGATGTGGGGCAAGGGGGCAAGCGTTGTCCTGGTATGGAGCGATGCCGGCACAACCCGCCACCTGACAGGGCAGGGGGCTCTCCAAAGCCATTTCCCAGCCAGCCTGAGGGTCGTGCTGTGGGCAGCGATCCTCGGGGACTCATCTCAGTCGCAGGCTCCCGAGGCGGCCTCAGGCAAGCTACTTCCCCTGCCCTTGGAAGAGCTTGCAGGACTGTTGTGAGGCTGACTGTTGCTGTGGATGCCGAGCTCTTTGAACACGGAAAAGGGCCCGGAGGAGCAAAGTCCTCTGGTTTGACTTTGGTTGCGAGGCGAAGGCAAAATCCCACTCCTGTGAGAGGGAGGAGGAGGGGAGGCGTCTTCAGTCTGTTTGAAAGCTATGAGAGAGAGACCCCCCCCTCCTTGGCTTTGGCCAGTCGCTCCTCCCTGCCTCTGCAGACTCAGGGGAAGGCATGCACCCCTCCCTTGCCCGATCTCCGGTGAGTGACCTCACACCCCGCCTTCCTCTCTAAAGGGAACCCAAAGCCACTCACGCCGTTCTCCCCTCCGGAGCCAGCCATGCCATGGTGCCGTGGTGGGTTCTCTGATCTGTAGAGGCCAGCTGGGGGACCTCGGGTCAGTCACGGTTCCCTCAGAGCTCTCTCAGCCCCACCTACCTCCCAGGGTGTCTCTTGTGGAGGGAGGGAGGGAGGGAGGGAAGGCGCTTGTAAGCCGCTCTGAGACGCCTTGGATCAGTGAAGAGTGGGGTATAAACCAACTATTCTCCTCCACTGTATCCTTGCAACAACCCTGTGGGGTAGGTCAGGCTGGGAGTGTGTGAGTGGCCCGACTCGGTCACCCGCCAAACTTCCATGGCAGAGTGGGACCTGAACGGGGGTCTCTCGGATGCTAGTGGTGTGGCCGCCCAGACCCAAGGACAAGGAGGTCAGAGTCCAGGACCATGGTGAGGCTGGGACAGCCCGGCTAGCGTCGGAGAGAGGGAAGGATTCTGCGGCCGGCCGTTTGTCCGGAGAGAAGCTTCCTGTCAGTAGCGCTGCAGACCAGCCAACGCCTGGCCCCAGGTCAGGGTGCGGGGTCTGCCTGTGCTCTCTGCTCCCCTTGGAGGGAGAAGCGCCCTGGCGGCTGCTGGCACCGGCCCGAAGGGAAGCCTCCGGCCAGCGAGAGAGACCCCTGGCCTCCTCCGCCTCCACACCGGAGCAGGCTGCATGCCCGGCCGGGGTCAGAAGTGCAGAAAAGGGCAACTCAAATGATAAAGGGGTTGGAACACTTTCCCTATGAGGAAAGGTTAAGGCGCTTAGGGCTCTTTAGCTTGGAGAAAGGACGACTGAGGGGTGACATGATTGAGGTTTATAAGATTATGCATGGGAAAGAGCAGGTAGAGAAAGAGGTACTTTTCTCCCTTTCTCACAAGACAAGAACTCCTTGTGGGCACTCCATGAAATTGCTGAGCGGTCGGGTTAGAAAGGATAAAAGGAAGTACTTCTTCACCCAAAGAGTGATTATAACACATGGAATTCACTGCCACAGGAGGTGGTGGCGGCTACAAGCATGGACGGCTTCAAAAGGGAATTAGATAAGCATATGGAGCAGAGGTCCATCAGTGGCTATTAGCCACAAGGTATAGCTAGGGGCTCTGGGGCAAGTGATGCTCTGTCTTCTTGGTGCTTGGGGGGGGGTCAACAGTGGGAGGGCTTCTAATGTCCTGGCCCCACTGCTGGACCTCCTGATGGCACTGGTATTTCTGGCCACTGTGTGACACAGAGTGTTGGACTGGATGGGCCTTTGGCCTGATCCAACATTGGCGTCTCTTATGTTCTTATGTTCTTAAACCACTAGGCCATTCAGGTTTGACCCAGAGCATATCACTGATGAATATACAGTGGAGGTGAACAATAGGTTTGACTAGATTTGATAGACAGAGTGCCTGAAGAAGTATGGATGGAGGTTTATGACATTGTACAGGAGGCAGCAATCA